ACCAGCTTTGTGTTTGGTGATCAAAGTATATCTGTTTGTGGTTTTGTTATATTGTGGTTTGATGAATATATAGTTTTGTATTTGGTATTTGAAACATGTTAGAATGACTGTATTTATTATATATATTGCTTGTTTCTCTGTAATTGTTGATTTTTGAAGTAACTTTAAGGTGTCATTTATTTCTTTTACTATATTTTGCTGTATTGGTATTTTACTAGTATGGATATTGTAGTAGTATTCAAGAAATCAAAAGCAATATTTAGGTGATATTGGGTGTATATTGGTGCTGTTAAACGTTATATATACTGGTTCATCTTTTTGCTTTGGTTTGTAGTTGGTAGCTAGTATTGACTTGTGTGGATTGACTATGATTCCTGTTATTTTGTAGAAGGAGTTAGCTATATCTATTAGTGTCTGTAAGTTTGGTTTGTTTTTTGCTATCTATAATGTGTCGTCCATGTATGCCAATATATTTTGTTGTTTGCTGAGACATTTGTATTGTATGTGTGTTGGCTGTGGTGTTGTTGTTCTCATTGTGTATATAGGGTGATTTTTGTTGATTTGGGTTAGCAAGGGATCGTAGTATATCCTCTATAATAGTAGGGTTATAGTTTTCTTTTGGTCTATACCGTCTTGAACTTGGTATTTGTTAGTTAGTCTATGATTGGTGATGACATTATTGTGTCTGTGAGATAGTATGTTATTTATGATATTTGTTATGGGTTTGGGTATTTTGATACGGTGTAGTGCTTTGATTAGGAGTGGTATATATACTGAGTCGTAGACCTTACTCATATTCTGTGATAATAACTATAGTTCTTTTTTGTTTGTCTGAGCATCTTCTATTATATATTAAAGAGTATGAATTAGTATTGCTGTAGAGGTATTGGCTAAGGCTACATAATTGTTTGGATTTAGTATATTGTATTTGGATAATATGGGGTCAAGTCTCCATACTATAATGTTTGTGAGAATCTTTCTAATATGTTTTATTAGTGTAATAGGGTGTATTTGGTTTAAGTCACCTATAAATGTTGCTTTTTTTGATATAGGGTATATTGTACTATGTTTCCATGCAGTGGGTATATTATGTAGTAACAGACAGTTGTTGAGTATATCTAGAATTGTAGTTTTTGCTCGAGGGCCTAGATGTTTTAACATTTCATTTAATATTCTTAAGGGTTTGGTGGCCTTTGTATTGGGTGCTTCTTTGATTATGGTCTCTAGTTCAAGAGGTGTAATTTTTGTTGTGATTGTGTTATACCATGTTGGGTCAATCGTTTGGATGGGTTTGTATTTTTCTACCTATTCTTGCTATAGTTCTGTTTGGGTAGAATTTAGCTTCGTCTAGTTTTTGAAATGTTTCTGTATTGCTGTTTTGATCTCCTGAGGTTCTGTGATTATGTTGTCTAGTGTGCAGATATTATATAATATGACAGGGTCTATATGTTTTTTGAGTATACTTTTTATCATTTTGGATGTATTGTTTTGGAAGTTTTAATATCTTCGTTTGATGTAGTTCTTTATGTGTTGGTTTTTTGCTATTTGGTTTTCTATGTTTCTTGCTGTTTTGATCTGTTGTTGGGTTGTCTTG